ATTTTGGCGAGAAACCGCCAGGTCTGGCAACCCGAAAATCACGAAATCAGCGTTTTTCTCATTTTCAATCGCTTATAACTCGATAAATATGCATTTTTGAGAAAAATCACAACCGCCATTTTTCTCTTGAAATTTTTCGCAGAACACGAATATGATGTTTAAAAATCCATATTCGACCGTTTTGGTAATTTGTTTAAGCAAATGGGTTTTTAACCATATGGTACCACTCGGAGCCAAAATTAACCACCAAATTCGTGCTTAGCGGGTCTAAATCCATCGAAAACACCTCATTCCAACCATTCACCTATAGTTTCCTACGGTAAGGTAGCCCACTCCCGGACTAGAGATAGTGAAACTGGTATACACTTATGTATAACACTCGCTAGCTAAAGAGAAACTAGGCCAGGCATACTCAATCAGGTGGTATTCAGCAAAGATGCAAATAACACAGCTAAACAAAAAAAACGTTCATGTCTAGAGACCAGAACTAGTGGACTTCATATTTTACGGATCTCTAAATCCAAATTCAGTGTCCGTTTTTCTAGGTTTGGTCATTTTAAAGGTCATTTGAAGGTCAAAACTAGAAAAAAATGTAAAAAATCTGGAAAAATAAATATTTCTTGGAATCTTGAGCAGAATAAGAATGTGAAAAAAATGAAAATATACTATCCAATCCATTATTTAGAGGGGAATCCTTTTATTACCTTAGATTTGACCTTTAATACAACCACAAACCTATAATGAACATAAAATTAATTTTGATCTAAAAAGCGAAAAATTTTACATTTCAATATGCCTTTTTTTTTTTTTTTTCAAGGTTATTTTAAAAGTGAAAGGCATATGTGATTTTTTCGGATTTTTATATCGAATTCTCCAAGTTTGACTATCAAATAATCTTTTAGCTGGGTTTGTAAAGGTAATCCAATTTTATACTTGGATGCAGTATGCTCAAAAACCTATGATTGATTTTTTTCAGATTTTTCATAACCTTTTCTTAATTTGACCTTAATGGGCTCACTGGGGGCTTTAAATTGAAACCATTTTTATTCTCAAATAGGACTTTTTGTTCCTTTTCCATTGCATTTTTCAAAACTCCAAAATTCCAATTATTCACTAAAATGTAGCTGTTTTCATGGGTCTTTTTGGAATACTTTGCGAGTAACATTTTTTCTTATACGTTTTCTGGCGTTTTGCGTTTTTGCAGAATATACCTCAATTGTAACATTCAGAGCGAACCGATTGAGTTACAGCACCAGGGTCGCGTATCTTCTTCAGAACAACAATGGTCACAAACGCAACCTCGGGCAAGGCGATCGAACTCATAGGTCATTTTCAATTTGTAGATTCACGATGGAGATACCAAAAAAAAAAGTAAAATGAAAAAAAAGTTGTGCTTAAGTGTTTGTGCAGAGTGACGTACGGATCGGATCACTTCGACCGAGGTTGCATTGGTGACCATTGTTATTCTGAAGAAGTATACGCGACCCTTGTGCTGAAACTCAATTGGTTCGCTCAGAACGTTAAGACGAGTGAGGTACATTTTGCAAAAACGTAAAACGCTAAAAAGGCTTACCGAAACAGCTGCATCTCAGTAAATAATTAAAATTTTGGAGTTTTGAAAAATGTAATGGAAAGAGGACAAAAAGTCCTACTTGAAAATAAAATAAACATTTTTCCGAGTATAAGCCCCCTGTGTGCTCTTAACCCATTAAGTCCGGGACGGACACTTTTTCAATACTTTTTTGAGGCGTTATATTTTTGTTGAAAATGGGGTCTGAAAAAATGGCGAGTAAGCATAATCTACGCAAAATTTAATGAACTTTTCGAATCTTGCGTCAGATTTTCGATATGACCAACCCGTCAAAAGTTATGGATGATTTTATCCAAAAAAAAAACTTTATTTTCTCCAATCTAAACCACGATAACTGTCAGTTTAGGGTCCATGGACGCTTTATTTGCACCCGAGACGCCAGGACTTCAACGATTTCCATGTGAAAAATTGAAAAGAAACAAATTATTTTTTTTCAAAACCACGTTTTTTTGGATAAAATCATCCATAACTTTTGACGGGTTGGTCATATCGAAAATCTGACGCCAGATTCGAAAAGTTCATTAAATTTTGCGTAGATTATGCTTACTCGCCATTTTTTCAGACCCCATTTTCAACAAAAATATAACGCCTCAAAAAAGTATTGAAAAAGTGTCCGTCCCGGACTTAATGGGTTAATTGACCTTAAAAATGAGTCAACCTAAAAAAACCAATCTCGGAATCGGATTCAGCGACGTCTATCACATAAAGTTTACTAGGTCTCTAGACGTGAACATTTTTTTTATGTGGCTGTAAATATAATAATTCATTTCTGATTTTTTAATTTTTTAATTATTTGAATGAATAATTTTCCAATAATTAATTAATGACATACATTTTTTTCTTACATGAGAGCATAACTTTGTCCTTTGATGCAACATTGCGTGTTTTTTAAGTATTGGCAATTTAATTACGTTTTTTATGAATTTTTTTCTATTGTATATATTGATCAGTACATACCACAACGTATTGTAAAATTCTTGCTTCTTTCTTATCAAAACTATGAACCAATCGAGCGAGAGCAAGCAAGACATTATGTTAGTTAATATTAATAACTAAACATTTCAGAAACTTACTTACGTCAGTCTAATTATTGAGTGTCTAGATCAAGTAATTATAAGTCATCAGTTTCGTCAGCTGCGAGTTTTAGCTTTGGATAAATTATTTTATGCAATGTTATAGCGAAAATAGCCTTTTTGCGCATATTTTTCATTGTGTAAAAAGCGTTTTTGACACTGGTGTGCAGTAAAATTTATGGTATTTTGTAAAATATCGTGCTAGTTATTTATGCACTTTGCGCATACCATTGCATTAAAATTTTTTATAGCACTGCGTGTCTTAAGTTCACATTTATGACACGATTTTCGGCAGCATAAGTCACACCTAATAATGGCAGCGCGTCGTTCGCATCACACTCGCTGCGCTCGTGCTCTAACCTCACTTCGCGGTACCACAAAGTGCGACCCATGACTCGCAAAAGAGGACATAAATGTGAACTTAGCGCAGTGCTATCAAATTAAGTATAATACTCGGGCCATAGGGGACACTTTCCGACGCATCTATTAAGACCCTCGCTGCGCTAGGGCCCTAAGCTACGCCGTGCCGTGATAGTACTTAACGATACAAGTGGAATAAGTAACACTTTTTGGCACGGCGTAGTTAGGGCCCGAGCGTAGTGAGGGTCCTAATAGCTGGGCCGAAAAGTGTTCCCATGGCACGAGTATGGTACTACATTTTATAGCACTGTGCTAAGTTCAGATTTATGCCCCCTTTTCCGAGTCATAAGTCGCACTTTCTGGTACCGCGAAGTGAGATTAGCGCACGAGCGTATGCGAGTGTGATGCGAACGGACCGGTGTCAGAAAGTGCGACTTATGCCACAGAAAAGCGTGCCTTGAATGTGAACTTATGCCATGCAGTGCTATAAAGTGTTACTTATAGCCCTTGTATCGTAAAGTACTAGTATGTAACACGGGTTCAGCTTTTTCCGCACAAAACAAAGCATAGCAATCGTGTATCTTCTCATACCAGCGTAGCCAGTACTCGTGAATGCACTGTACGCAAAAACGTATTTTGGGCACTTGTTGCTTAAATTTATTAAAAAATATACGTATCATTTTTAAAAAGGTTCTCCAATAATTTAATTTATTTATAAATCGGTGAAATTAAATTATAATATTTACTTGAAAATAACTTCATATGTTTAAGGTGGCTTGTCAGTAATCATAACAATAGTACAGTGAGGCGTATGTCTGTCTATTTCTCGCATTAGGCAGGCAACCGCTCGCACTGTTCAAAATCAATGATTCTACGCACATTTTGTTTAAATACTCATTAGTTAGTTCGATAAGGGGTAATTTTTAACATACCAACCGAAAGGTAGCGACTTGAAGCATAACATACTCGTTTTTGGTTAAGATCTGTTGTTTAATAAAAAAGTTATGGCGTAAATGTATGAAATTATGATGGCCTCGCATAAGAGCTCATGTTAAGTGCTCAAAGGGGGCTTAAAATCGAAAAAATTTTCATTTCATTTTCAAGTAGGATTTTTTGTCTCCTTTCCATTGCATTTTTCGAAATTTCAAAATTCACTGAGATACAGCTGTTTCCTTGAGCCATTTTCGTATACTTTGCGTGTTAAATTTTTTTTCTTTTGCGTTTTCTGGCGTTTTACGTTTTTACAAAGTGCACCTCAGTTGTCGTAACATTCAGAGCGTACCGATTGAGTTATAGCACCAGGGTCGCGTACACTTCTTCAGAACACCAATGGTTACGGTCACAACCTCAGGCGTGCAGATCCGACCCTTAGGTCACCGTGCACAAACACTGAAGCACAATTTTTTTTCATTTTACATTATTTTTTCGGGACCTCCATCATGAATTTACTGATTGAAAGTGACCTATGAGTTCGATTACTTCGCCCGAAGCTGTGACCGTAACCATTGATGTTCTGAAGTAGTGTACGCGACCCTGGTGCTGTAATTCAATCGGTACGCTCTGAACATAATACGCCAGAAAACGCTAAAGAAGAAAAAATTTAACACGCAAAGTATACGAAAATGGCTCACGGAAACAGCTGTATCTCAGTGAATGATCAAAATTTTGAAGTTTTGAAAAATGCAATGGAAAGGGGACAAAAAATCATACTCGAAAATGAAATAAAAATTTTTTCGATTTTAAGCCCCCTTCGAGCCCTTAAATTTGCTATTTTCAACGGCTTCGTTCTCAAAAATTAGTTCGATAATCCATGCTGAAATTTCTACAGCATATCAAGGGCATTTTGAATGACATTTCTGACGTTTCATAAACCTTTGTTGTCGACCCGTTTTACTGATGAGCCACCTTAAATCTAAAATCAAAGTTACCTATAAGTATATTTTACTCTTTTTATAATTAACATTTATTTATTACAGACTACTGGTTTAACTGGCCTTGAACCTAATTCTAATGCTCGTCGATCGTTGTCTATAACTTATGGTAAAATCATTCGATTGTTAGAGAAGTTGCCCGAAAATTATTTATACAAACAATATACCAAAAATTTAATACAGAGTCGATCTGAAATTATTAATAAGGTGAGTCAATTATTACACTTTTAAATAGTATTTATAGACAAAAATATTTTAATTTTAATTATTTTATTTTTCCACACCACACATCACACTTACATATTATACCACTAGCATTTATGGTAAAATCCTTCAAATGTGCTCAGGAGCTTTGTTTATTCTCGATTTACTTGAAAACTTTTTTGGTTAAGTAAGCGGAAAATATTATCATTGAAATGTAGTATGATAATATTCTTGCAAGAACCAACCTACGATTACAAAACTTCATATAGTTTTGATGTCAAATACATTTTGTTATTCGTATGTGAGATTGTTCTCGTACAAGTAAAGTAATTTATTATAGCATTTCATTGTGATCGTGTGTAAACCTTTCTTTGCATCTCCAAAATGTGTAACTCATTCTACAGTAAACCATGCCATGATTATGAGGTAGAGACATGTAGTGTTATAAAAGTAAGTTTTATAACGGCATGTCATAAGTTGATTCATTGTGAGCTGGGCCTTGCGGGGGATATATTATTTTTTTCTGCCTGAAAAAAAGTGTAAGTGCGCAGTAATTCATACACCCGCGCAGTAATAGGTGCATCGGCTTTTTTTACATCTTATTATTTTTTAAATACTTTTGTACCCTAAACACCTAAAGAAATGGTTTCTATGCATTAATGAAGCTCTCATCTGTTATAATAGTACATTACTTCACTCGTGCGCGAAGTGGGAGATTCGCACGAGTCTCAGTTTGTCTCCCGAGCGCAGCGAGGGTGACAATTAGACGAGGGCGTATATTTTTTTCTTTAAGAGGGCTCTATGCGGTGATCGAAACGCTCTTTAATTCGAAGTATTTGGCTACCGCTTTATTAATTGGATAATGAATTAATTGAAAAACTGTTATAGTAACTTTGTTCAGAATAATTTTCTGCGTGTGGGAACACTTAAAGTTATGTAAAATTAAACAATTTACGAAAATCAATCAGAAAGTTAAATATGTGTTCTGCTAGTGCGCAAGCATGTCTCACACAAAAAAGTTAATGAATTAATAATAACATGTTTTTCGATTCGCTCTGGGGTATAGAGCCCTCTTAACCCCACGGTCTGACTTGAAGCCAAGATGATGTTTTAATGCTGAGATGTCTCCTCCACCATTTATGAAGAGAGTACAGTATTTATGAACAACTCCACCATTTATGAAGAGAGTTAGTAACAGACGTACGACGAAACGAACGTGCTGTATACAAGCCAGGATTCGGCAAATCTAAGAACGTCGCAATAGACATTTTCCCTTGCACATTGTTTAAAAAAACAATCACTTTTTTCGCACTTATTACGCACACCCAAATATTTCTTGCAAATTGTGTAGTGATCACCATTAATGCTAAATGTTCGTTGAATGAAGGCCCTTCTTTTCGGTATGCGTACCAACAAGATTGAATTATTATCTTCGACGTCTTGAACTGTTGAATTAGTCAAGTCCTCACGTTGACATGCGCCAGTGGTTGCAAAAATGAGTACTACTTTTGTTACGAGAATTTGCAATGTCGTCTCTTCACAATGCCTAGCTATTTCGGTAGAGGTAAAAGTACTCATTTTTAAAATGTCCAAAAGTTTCTTTTTATGCTACAGAAAAAATATGTTGTGTGCGGTGTACGGCTCACGACAGACTGATTCGAGTTGCGCTCGTGAACTACTGATACGCGATCGAAACAATGCGGCATGCGCTTGACGTGTTTCAATGGGTACTGAAATTTGAAACGCATCGAGTGGCTGCTTATAGTAGTAAACAAAGTAACAACGTTCGTATCATAGTTAACAACGACACAAAGTAACGTTCAATTCTATGGGTTTTTCACACACTAAGGTCCACGAGCGAAATTAGTATCAGTCCATCGACAACTGTATAAGGCACACCAACGTATTTTTCCTTGGGAAAGCAAGTTCATTTACGTTTTGAAAATGAGTGAGTGCAACGAAGTGCCGATGGATATCGCTGAAGCTGCTGCAGAGGTCTCGTTGGATTTGTTACAAAAAAAATCCAAACAACGCTACACCGTTGTCTATAACGAGTTCAAACAATGGCGCAAAACTAAAGGAGAATAAATGAATACTCTTTGTACTTTTACTTTTTTGATAAAATACAGAAACATTAAATTTTTTATTTAAAAAAAATGATTTATTTATTATTATAAATAAAAAAACTTTAAACAGAATTTTTTGTGGGTGTGGGAGCTCCGCCCCCAACCCCCCGGCGGGGCCTTCGGCCCCTGCACTCAGACCAGGGCTTGCGGCCCTGGACCTGCTCTGGCACCCGTTACCACCCGCTTCTTTCCTCTTTCCGCTCCCTCCAAACTTCCCGCCACTCGTGATAAAAAATACAGTAGGCCCTCCGTATTCGCGGTAGTTAGGTTCCTAAAAAACACCGCGAATACGGAATCCGCAAATAATTGAAAAATAATGATAATACATGTAATAATAATAATGTCGAATAACAAAAATATTGAATAATTGAAGGTATTTATTTTATTGGCATTTTTCAAAATATTCCGTAATGCGGGATTGTTTTATTCTCCGAACCATGTCTGTGTGCAACTCTTTATAAGGATTTAATGTCATCGTTTAAAAATTGTGAACAATAAATACAAAAGTTAACCAAAAAGTTACGTTTGGCATCAGGTAAACACCGCGAATATCGAATTTTGTTTCCGCGGATACGGAGTGAAGGTATCAACAGAAAATTCCGCGAATATAGAATTCGCGTATACTGAATCCGCGAATACGGAGGGCCTGCTGTAGTATACGTCACTCGTGCGAGAATCACCCACTTCGCGCACTCGTAACGTAATGTACTATTATTTTTCGTTAAATTTACTTCAGAATCAGAGATCCGAAAAATGCGCAGTAATACCCCTTTCACTCTATATTAAATGTTTATATTTTTTTCATTTAAAAATTTATTTTTCTACTTTTTTATATAAAGAAATAAATATTATGAAGAACGAATATGAAGATTATGATAAAATTTTTTTGATTTTTGATTTTTGATGTTCATTTTAGACGCAGTCTACCACTGAGATTGAAGATAAAATTGGATGTGGTCAAATTGAAGAGTTATTAATACAAGCTGATAATGAGTTGAAACTCCTGCGAGATACAATGCAATGGCAATCTTGGAAGTCTCCTACTAATCTAAATATTGAAAATCAATGGTCATGGCCACCTTGCAAATAGAAAAATAATTTTAAAACTTGATAAGTTTTAAAATTAAAAATGTATTCCATAGAATATCTTATTCCCGCTTATTATACTTTGATTCGTTATATTGTAAATTTTATTTTAAAATAGCCAATACTAAATTGTTTAAACTCGATACGAAACTGGGATTTTTTATTTCACACATTATGATAAATACCCAATTCTAAGAATCATTCTTTTGTATCATGCTTTATCACTATTTATCGACGAATGATTTATAGAAATGAAAAATTGATGGATTTTACAATACATCTATTTTAAATATTGATCAATTATTTCGAGAACATTTTTAAGAAACAATATTGAGTTGATTCAGTTCACTATAAAAATTTTAGTATACAAAAGTGCTGTTACAAAGGAAAAACTTTGCCTTTTTAAGGTAAACCTATAACATAAGATTTTAGGTTATCGAGCAGCCACTTTGCCCAATATTCTTCAGCACATACACACTGCCAACATCAGGGATAAAAACAGTCTAATTTATGAATATGGGTAAAAACGCCAATAATGCCCCAGCGCTACGCGCGGGCAGCGACAACGACCGGATTGCTCAGTTTTTAATTCGCTCGCAAAGGGTTAAATAAAATTCAGAAACATTGACCAACATAGGTTTTTGATAGCTTTTAACCTCAGCTTTCTACTGGTGAGGTCAAAAATGCAAAAATATGCCTCCATAATGTCTAAAAATGGGCTTGAAGATAAAACACGTTGTAACTTGCAGAGATAAATTCCGATCGGATTTCTGACTAGCTAGATCAAAAGATCTTGCGATTTTACATACGATCTAACTTTAAAACATCAAAAAAGGGACTTTTTCGATTTTCTCGAGCGGTAAAGAGAGAAAGAGCGCCCGGTCGGCCGTTTTCGAGCGCTCCGGCCTGATTTTTCGCTACACTTCACGTTTCTTTACCTTTCACCCGTTAGGCTTTGGCCATAAAAAAAAACAAATACATGGTTTTTGTGTATTTTTTTTCTCATCTTTATTCAAAATAATTCGGTACTGAATACTGACTGAGTGGGTATGCCTGGCCCTTAATATATTTTAAATTATTTCTCGGTTTACCAAGTTTTTAATTTCTTAAGATTCAAATTCTGTTTTTATTTAAAAATGATTGTATTTTGCGAATGTATTCTGAAGTTGGCTTGAGAAAAAATTAGATTTTAGTTTGCTAGTCCAATTCTCCGTCTATCGTACATAAACCAAATTGTTAGTTTATCCGGATTACGAGTTTTAGTGGTTTTCTATTTATTTAATTATAATTTTACCACTTGTGAGTTTTCTAAAAGTGCTATTTATGGTTCTTTATTGAAAAAAAATATTTCAAAACGTTTTTTTCTTAGTCGTACGACAAAATTAAAAACAATTCCTAAATCTGTCGTACAGGGAGACGCAATCTTTGTAACTGTTGCACAAAGTACTACAAAAACAAGGTTATAGTATTAATTGGTTGCTTTAGATAATACTATTACATGCAATGACTGTGGAAAAAATCATTTTTACGAAATTTTTCATGAAAGATAACTGACCTATTTTATTTATTAATTATTAACTTTGGTATTCCTCAAAATTTATAAAAATGCAATAACATAATACAGTAACTTCGATGTTTACAATTATCATTAAATATCACAACGCAATTATAATTAAAAATGTGTATGCAAATGAATTTTGAAAATCATGTTACATGCTTTAGGTTTGAGTTACAACGATATCAAATTTCAATCTTCCGATCGCTTATTGGTTGCAGGATAATAATCAACCAGTAAAGGACGTGGTCTTTGACCAATTCCTAATGGCTGTTGTAAGCCTAACGCTTGCTCTTCATTTGTTATAACAGTTGTTAATGTTTTGATAACTTGTTCATCATGCTGAGTCATTACTTTATTTGGATTCTTCATACGTCGAAGAAACAAGGCATTCCATTTTTGTCGTAAATGTAAAATGAGTTGAGCAGTAGAACTATCAAGTTTAAATGCAATCCAATCATCTAGTTTTAAAATGGTAGTACCCTCATTACTTTCATCAGCTTCTGAATCAGATTCACTTTCAGGAATAGCTGTAAATGTTATGAATACTTTTTAAAATTAATGTATAATGTTGAATCTATTTTTAAAAATTAATTATTTTATTTATTGTGAAATTTAATAACCAATTAAGGAGGCTGTAGCGATAAAAGGCGGTACTGTATTAGAACGCTATATGCGCAAGGCTATATGGGGCGAAATTTCTCCTAGTGCCTCGCGCAACAGCGTTTTCGAGCGAAATTGCTCAATTTCTAACTCGCTCTAGAAGTCCCTAAACGAACCTGAAAAAAATAACCAACCAGTGATTTCGATAGGAAATTTGCTCAGCTTTCTGATAGTGAGGTCGAATTTCCCAAAATTTTCCATTTTCACCTTGAAAATGCAAGCAAACTTTCAAACTCAAATATCTCTAAATGCGTCATGTGTTTTGCGTTTTTTATTATTTCGATGGAATACTGAGGTCTTTTTACATAAAAAACAGTTGTTTTTATAGTGTAATACACATAATTTCTATGAGAGATACGAGCAAACATAGTCGGTGCTCGCCCGTCCGGCCGCCTAAACGCGCGACCCGTGGATTGCTGTAATCGTAACTCGCACAAATGACTATGTGATTCGACTAGAAAAATAAATAAAGATATGGTTCTTATGCGTTTTTTTCTCAGCTTTTACGAGGTGCAGTTGGATTTTTCGATAATTTACAAGTTCACTAGGAAAAATAGGAAATAAATGTTCAAGTCCATTTATCCGTACGAATATGAAAATTATCAAGAAATCCAACTGCACCACGTGAAAGCTGAAAAACGAACGCATAAAAACCATATTTTTATTTATTTTTCTAGTTGAATCACATAGTCATTTGTGCGAGTTACGATTACAGCGGTCCACGGGTCGCGCGTTTAGGCGGCCGGACGGGCGAGCACCGACTATGTTTGCTCGTATCTCTCATAGAAATTATGTGTATTACACTATAAAAACAACTGTTTTTTATGTAAAAAGACCTCAGTATTCCATCGAAATAATAAAAAACGCAAAACACATGACGCATTTAGAGATATTTGAGTTTGAAAGTTTGCTTGCATTTTCAAGGTGAAAATGGAAAATTTTGGGAAATTCGACCTCACTATCAGAAAGCTGAGCAAATTTCCTATCGAAATCACTGGTTGGTTATTTTTTTCAGGTTCGTTTAGGGACTTTTAGAGCGAGTTAGAAATTGAGCAATTTCGCTCGAAAACGCTGTTGCGCGAGGCGGCTGGAGTTTTGAAAAATTTCGCCTCATATGCGTTACGAAGCGCACAACGTTAGCACGGTAGAACATAGAGGAAATGTGTTGGACTCTTAATATCTTTTAAGAATGGTCGGAAGCACTCATTTATAATTATCTAATTCGAAAGTAAATAAGATTTCCTAAAACATATATTAATTTTATAAACTTGTAAAGTGATTTGGGCCACAGTACACGAAAAACTGCCACTTCCCATACAATTCATTGTTAAATGGCCAAAACTTTGTATCTCATTATTTCCCAAGTTTGCATGGAAACCCCACATTTTTTTTACCAAAAATCTTGTAATTACAAGCATAATAATTGTAATTTTAAGCATTTTCATTTTCCACATTCGGGAAAATGACCCGGAATTTGAGGAAAACTGTTTCCAAGAAAACCGTGTACGTCTTTAGTTATTGCTGGCCAAAAAATCGGACTTGTACTAAAAAATTTATAAATTACAATGAAATTTACTAAAATACTAAATAATTGTTAGCGGCAACGTACACGCAGGCCAGGCACAGTCGCGCACGGCCCTGCATGTGCCCGAGAGAAGGGGTAAGCGGCCCGCGGACTCGCTCGCCCGGCAAGCCTCAGCAGTTCTATCGAGTGACGACACGGAGACGCATTGCGGAGTCGTGCTCCAATAAACACTCATTACCAATTAATTCTTCGACTCGGCTTTGCTTTCGTCTTCCCGCCTCCACCATCCTCGACACACGCGCGGGCCATCGCCGGGACTCGGACGCCACGGAGCATCCCGGAAGCGCGTTTAAAAATACCATATATTAGCATATTATTGTATCAGGCTCACGCAGTTAAGTGTAACTGCCCATAAAATATTTGTATTTAAATTTTCTCAGGTATTGCTTCCTCATAGACAAAGCTTTGTGATGGCTCCATTGCGGCTTTCGTATACAATCATCGCAGGGTATATTAAATGATATTTCTATATACTAGATCGAATTTATGACAATGTTAGTATTTATCTGTGTGTGTGTGTGTGTATTTTTTTTCCTACTCCACCCCATTCGGACACTCACCGGTAACCGCCACTAGGCATTGCTTCGTTGAGGCCGGGGTTAGTTCAGCATTTCTGCTACTTCGATATTAGTCGTTTCCATACATCCCTCATCCGTCGCATAGTGATATGCGACGATTAGGGGTTCAGGGACTCATCTTTTTCTACTTGGTGAACCTCCGTACCTGCGCGATGCCATCGTCGAGTGTCGTATCCCCTTCTTCAGAGCCGTCTACTGCGTGGTTACACATTGCTGACGTCTCCTCCTAGGTTAAGTATTAGAACTCGCTGCCCAGTGCCATCTTGAGAGTGCGGTTCTCGCTTCTGCCGCCGCCCGGCTGGGCCGGTGATCGGGTCGGCTTTATCTAGTGAGTGTGGTTCTTGCTTCCGGCGCTATCCTGTGATCGAAAATTCGCCCAGTGGAGATCGAACCCACGCCCTACGGCACAGCTTGTATCAGCAGGCAAGAACTATACCCACTGAGCCGAGGAGGCCGATTGTGTGTGTGTGTGTGTGTGTGTGTGTGCGGCTGTGTGTCTGTGTAGAGTGATTCCTCGATGACGGTAGCACGTATCGTGACGGGGGAGGGATTATTTTGTTCGGAATGATTTTGAAATTAGAAAAGATGATATTTATATTGACAAATCATTTTCAAGTTTAAAAAAAGTATGAGGAAGCTACTTGCCAATACATTGACAGCGGTTTTTAAACAATAAATCTTTTCAATATTTGGTTTACTATGAAAGTTTGAAAGAACGAACTAATTGAGCTGAAATTAATGCATTTATTTATGTTACCGGCAAAACCCGATTTTAGGCATCTTGGAAAAATAGAAATGTAAGTCATCAGTGAATAATTTTTCATATTAAATTTATTGTTAAATGAGAAAAAACTAATTTCAATTCTATCTACTGCTAGTGGGTCATGAGCTTACAACTAAAAAAGATCACAAACTTTCATTTATTGCAACTGGTGCTGTAATGGAGCTTTGAAGTACATACCACTCCATTTTTTTTTACATAAACAGACTTCAGTCTTGCAAGATATTCTACAACTAGAATTGAAATAGTTTTAACCTCCTGAACGTGATTGCTTAGTCGCAATCATTCTTATAGACAGAACCTCCAAAGTCGGCACATCTTATTCCGTCAGAAACTTTTGGCACCATACGTCAAACTCAGAATTCTGAGTAGAGCGGAGAGGGTCCTTAAGGCCTACATTATTATTCTATAGAGGACTCTAAGACGAAAATTCATGGATATAAGAGCATTACTAGAAATCGAAAGTAATAAACATAATGTTTTAAAATATGCTGTATTTGTCGGGAATTTGTATAAAAAAAATGTATTATTTAATCGACGGAGGTAACGTGGTATTAGGAACAATAAAATACCAATCAGAATGTCAGAAAGAAATTAAATACGAAAGCAAGTAAATACAAAAGTCGATTGGATCGAAAAGAAAATTTGCCGAAAGCCAAGCGTACGAAACCAATTACAACGATTAACAAATTAGTAATGAACCAACCAATGAGCAGCAAGTATTCAGTTTCGTACGCTTGGCTTTCGGCAAATTTTCTTCCTATTAATTAGAAGGGAATTCGGGTATTTCCTAAAATCATAGACAATTCGTGTATTACCTAAGCAAAACCAGGTTTTGCCTAAAATCGGATTTTGCCGGCAACATCTATAAATATTGTTGCTGATGTTGTAATTTTTTATAAATATTATGGTTAAAGAGAACTATAGCAAGCACAATGATTGAATATTTTCAGTAAGGTATACACCCCTATTTTCGGTAAATTAGGTCTTAATTTGGGTCAACTTTGAATTAATTTTTTTATATAGGGTTGAAACTTGATATCTGAATTTGAATAATATATTTCTGTTCATATGTTTAGCCAATTATTAAAAAAAAATTTCGTACGTACAATTAAGTTGTTAATACTAATTATTGACCGAAAATAAGGGCATGTACCTTACTGATGATAAGGTTATCTGAGACTCAAAACATATGCAACATCACTTCCATCAAGGATCAGAAAAAGAAAGAGAGAGCTTAATAATTAAAAAAAAACGTTAACAACATTTTTTTTCTTTATTCTTTTTAATTTGCAATTTGTCAGTAAATCAAATCACTGCAATTTATTGGCAAAGAGCTTCTTCATAAAAAATTTTATTAATGAAAAGGTTTAGTTATTGAAGAGAAAATTTGCATGCGATCGATTTCATTTTTGTATACGAAACTCCAAAAAAAACCTACCGATTTCTAGAATTTCGTGTAAGATTCCCTTGAATAGACACTACTGAACCTACACTTCTATCTAAGCCAAAAGGCCAAGAAGGTAAACATACTGTCACGTGGGACGACAAGGCCCCATCAGTGCGTGGCGTGCGACAATGAAAGTGATGACTGATGAGCATAGCTCAGCGGCAGCGGCAGTATCAGTACATCAAGCGACGAGGAGACATCTCGAGCGAACGGCCCCTCCCCTCTGATATATTTTGAACCTAATTAGTTATTTCGCCTCTTATTTAACCTCTCTTTATCTTCACCCCACGTAATAATACACGCAGACTTTTGTTCGTAATTCAATGTAATTTCTAAATATGTAACCCAAATTTTATCACGACGTCTGGTTCCAAATCTCATTTTCAAGCCTATCAGATAGCTTCCTCGATGAGGAAGCAATAACACATGTGACGATCGCGTTACGTCGTCACATCTCTCTCTCCTCCAATTCT